TGATGCAGCCTAGAACTGTGTTGGCTTTTCTGGCAGCTGCTGCACATGGCTGGCTCATATTTAAATAGTTGTCCACTGGGATTCCAAGATCCCTCTTACAGTTACTACTATCAAATCTCATTTGAAAAACTTGGCACAGTTCTCAACCAGACTTTGAAACAACTGGTCTCAGAGCGAGAATGAAGACAATCTCGTTTCTGATCTCATCTAATCGTCTAAATAAAAAGTCAAACCAGAATTCTCAGTGTTTAGGTAGACAACACATACAGGTAGTCCTGGACTTACAACCATTCGTTTAGTGACTGAATATACAACGGGACTGAAAAGTGTGACTTTTGAGTTTTTCAGACTTACAACCATTGCAACATTCCCGGGGTCACATCCTCAAAATTTAAATGCTTGACCACTGGTTCATATTTATGTCCCAGGGTCAAGTGGTCAAAATATATAATAGAGAACTGAGATATTTAATTGTGAATGAAATTTGTAATTTGTAATTTGTAAATTTTGGATATGGGATTAAGCACAAAAGAATTGTAACCGGATGTGTGGATGATAGTTGTTTTTATGTTTTGTTTTAAAAAATAAAAATTTAAAAAAAAATCTGGACACTTGGCAACTGGCGAATATTCATGACGGCTGCAGTATCCCGGGATCATGTGTTCCCAATTTGCAACCTTAAAGTCAATGGGAAAGCCGGATTCACTTAACAACCACGTTATTAACTTGACAATGGCAGTGATTCACTTAACAACGGTGGCAAGAAACATTCACTTTAACAACCGTGTTAATTAACAACCAAAACACCTGAAGGCAGGACAAGAAGCAACGGATGGAAACTAATCAAGGAGAGAAGCAACGTGGAATTAAGAAGGAATTTCCTGACAGTGAAAACAGTCAATCCGTGGAACAGATTGCCACCAGAAGTTGTGGATGCTCCCTGGAGGTTTTTAAGATGAGATTGGAAAGCCATTTGTCTGGAATAGGGTCTTCTGCTCGAGCAGAGACCCTATTGAGGGTGAGACTAGAAAACCTCCAAGGTTCCTTCCAACTCTGTTATTCAGTGAATAACAGTTCACTGAATAACAAGTTTTTAAAAAGAGACATAGATACATAGAATAACAGAATTGGAAGGGACCTTGGAGGTCTTCTAGTCCAACCCCCTGCTTAGACAGGGGACTCTGGCCTATACCATTTTATTATTATTATTATTATTTAGACTTCTATACCACTTCATAGTGCTTTACAGCTCTCTCTAAGCGGTTTACAAAGTTAGCATATTAGCATATCGCATATTAGCATATTGCATTAGCATTAGCATATTGCCCCCAACAATCTGGGTCCTCATTTTACCCACCTCGGAAGGATGGAAGGCTGAGTCAACCTTGAGCCGGTGAGATTTGATCCGCCGATCTGTTGAACTAGCAGTCAGCTGAAGTAGCTGCAGGACTGCACTCTAACCCCTGCGCCACCTCGGCTCTTTCAAGTCCAATCCCTTTTTGAAAGCCTCCGGTGATGAAGCACCCACAACTTCTGGTGGCGAGCTGTTCCACTGGTTAATTGTCCTCACTGTTAGGAAGTTTCTCCTTAATTCTTCTCTCCTTGGTTAGTTTTAAGAGATCAGTCTGAAATGGTATAGGGCAGTGATGGAGAACCTATGGCACGTGTGCCACAGGTGGCACGCATAGCGATATCAGTGGGCACACCAGCTCAGCTTTGGTGTGCATGCGCCCGCCGGCCAGCTGATTTTCGGGTCTTCTGGGCCCACCAGAAGTAGGGAAACAGGCTGTTTCCTGCCTCCGGAGGGCCTGGGGCAAGGTGGGGGAGGCTGTTTTCACCCTCCCCAGATGCAGATAGGATCTGGAGCCAGGTGAAGAAAAAAAACAGGCCTACCGGGCCATCGTGTGCCAGGAGCGGGCGGGGGAGTGGGTTGCGCCCGCATGTGCAGGGCGGGGCGTAGAATTATGGGTGTGGGCACACATGCGTGTGAACCTCCCCCACCCACCCCCTCCTGGCATGTGATGGCAGAAAGGTTAGCCATCACTGGTATAGGGTTTCCTGACTGAGAAGGGGGGTTGGACTAGAAGACCTCCAAGGTCCCTTCCAGATTCTATTCCTTTCCCTTCCCTTCCTTTCCCTTCTATTCTATTCTGCTCAGCTTGTTGTACTAATGTCACTGCTAAGTTCCAAGCTAACTTAGTTCAGGTGTTGTGTGAACCCAGGTAGCGCATACAGTCAACTTCCCTGCTATCTTTGTGCCCTTTTTTTTCGAGCCACCCAGCAAACCACATTTTTTTTCCACTTGTGCTGCAATGTTGCTCAGTTTTCTGCTTTAAAAAAAGAGAATCAACTCAGGGGCTGCCCCAAGGAAGAGGGAGTCAAGCTCTTCTCCAAAGCACCTGAGGGTAGAACAAGATGCAATGGATGGAAACTCATCAAGGAGAGAAGCAAACTAGAACTAAGGAGAAATTTCCTGACTGTTAGGAGCCTGGATAGCTCAGCAGACTAATGCATTGTAATTTAACTCCAGCTGTCTGCAATTAGCAAGTTCCAATCTTGCTAAGCTCAAGGTTGCCAGGCTCAAGGTTGACTCAGCCTTCCATCCTTTCTAAGGTAGTAAATTGAGGACCCAGTTTGTGGGAGCAATAAGCTGACTTTGTAAAAATATACAAAAGTATGAAGGCTATTGCTTAACGCATTGTAAGCCGCCCTGAGTCTCCGGAGAAGGACGGCATATAAATCAAATTAAAAAAAAAATAATTAAGCAGTGGAACGACCTGCCTCCAGAAGTTGTGGGTGCTCGAACACTGGAGGCTTTTTAAGAAGAAATTGGACAGTCATAAATTTATGTGAAATGATATTGGGTCTCCTGCTTCAGCAGGGGGCTGGACTAGATGACCTCCAAGGTCCCTTCGCACTCTTATTATTCTGTTATTTTTTGGGGGGGGGAGTTGACGCGTCTCTTGGACCGCCAGGTGGATCTCGTCTCGTCCACCCAGCCAGGCTCTCTTGCTTCAGCAGGGGGCTGGACTAGATGACCTCCAAGGTCCCTTCCCACTCTTATTATTCTGTTATTTTGGGGGGGGAGTTGACACGTCTCTTGGACCGCCAGGTGGATCTCGTCTCGTCCACCCAGCCAGGCTCTCCTGCTTCAGCAGGGGGCTGGACTAGATGACCTCCAAGGCCCCTTCCCACTCTTATTATTCTGTTATTTTGGGGGGGGAAGTTGACGCGTCTCTTGGACCGCCAGGTGGATCTCGTCTCGTCCACCCAGCCAGGCTCTCCTGCTTCAGCAGGGGGCTGGACTAGATGACCTCCAAGGTCCCTTCCCACTCTTAATATTCTGTTACTTGGGGAGGAGGAGTTGACGCGTCTCTTGGATCGCCAGGTGGGTCTCGTCTCGTCCACCCAGCCAGGCTCTCTTGCTTCAGCAGGGGGCTGGACTAGAAGACCTCCAAGGTCCCTTCGCACTCTTATTATTCTGTTATTTTGGGGGGGGGGAAGTTGACGCGTCTCTTGGACCGCCAGGTGGATCTCGTCTCGTCCACCCAGCCAGGCTCTCCTGCTTCAGCAGGGGGCTGGACTAGATGACCTCTAAGGTCCCTTCCCACTCTTAATATTCTGTTACTTGGGGAGGAGGAGTTGACGCGTCTCTTGGACCGCCAGGTGGATCTCGTCTCGTCCACCCAGCCAGGCTCTCCTGCTTCAGCAGGGGGCTGGACTAGATGACCTCCAAGGCCCCTTCCCACTCTTATTATTCTGTTATTTTTTTGGGGGGGGGAAGTTGACGCGTCTCTTGGACCGCCAGGTGGATCTCGTCTCGTCCACCCAGCCAGGCTCTCCTGCTTCAGCAGGGGGCTGGACTAGATGACCTCCAAGGTCCCTTCCAATTCTGTTACTCTTTGAAAAAAAAAAAGTGGATCGCCAGGCGGATCTCCCCCCCAGCCAGGCTCTTCGTGCGGCTTAGCAGGTGCCTGCCCGGCCCTCCCTTTCCCTTCTCCGGGGACAGACGGGAACTCTTACATAAGGCGCTTATGCAACGGAGCCCCCCCCCCTCCTGCTTTCACCCCGAGGTCGCCATCAGCAACTCCGCGTCTCTATCCTTTCAAGCATCTCTAACCTCCATTCATGCGGACGCCGGCATTTCCAAAGTACGCGGTGGGGGGGGGACTCACTACAGACCCCCAAATATAGGAGAGGGATTTCCATTCATCCGACCGTTGCCCCTCATCTGGATCTGCTGGAGGGAGATGGACCTCCTGTGGAGGAAGATTAAGGAATGCCCTAAACTAAAAAGAGGCAAGAGCGATCCGAATTCTCTCTCGTTTCCCCCCCCCCCGTTTCTGAGATGGAATGGACTCTCCCTTCTTCCAGAAGCTATGAATGAAATATTTGCCGCGAAAGGGAAAGGAGCAGACCATTCTAACGAAGGGGGAGGTTTGCTCTTAACTACAACTGCAAATTTAGGTTTCCGACGTGCGGAGACATTCGGAGTGCTTGGTTTTATTTTTTTTACAAAGAATAAGAAGAGATACGGAGCACAGTTCGGAAGAGGCGAGAGAGTCCTTAGAGCGGGGTGGTTTTTATGATTTTTTTCCCCCCTTTTCTTTCGGAAAAATAGTTCGAGCCGCTCCCTCCCTCCTCGGTGGGCGGGCAGCGCCGCGATTGGCTGGGCGCATTTTAAAGGGGCAGACAAGGCGCGCTTTTTCTACCCTCCGACCTTTCCTTTCCTCTCGCTTCCCATCTTCGCCTCAGCCGCTCGGAGAATTACCGTCCTCCGCCCGCCCGCCCGCAAGCCAGCCAGCCAGCCGGGCAAAGCGGGCGAGGAAGCGAGCCGGGGGGGGAAAAAAAAAAAGCAGCGAACGTGAGCCTCCGTCGAGCCCCGGTCCGGCGGGGCGGGCGGGATGAAGAGAGGCGCTCCCCGCCCGCGACGACTCCGACCACGACGGGCAAAAAGGCGGCGGCGGCGACGGCTGCTGCAGTGGTGGCAGCTAGGCCCCGCCGCGGCGTTGCTATGGAAACGGGCGGCGACGGTGGCCGCCGAGGGACAGAAAGGTTGCCGAGCGGCGCCTGAGGCGCGGCGAGCGCGAGCGGCTCCCGCCGCCGCCGCCGCCGTTTCTGAGGGGCGCCATGGAAGGCCGCTCGGTCGGTCTTCCTAGCCGGGCCTCACCGTCGTCGGTCAAAGCCGCCTTGGCTTCCCCTCCGCGCTACCGCCTGGTGTCTGAAATCGGGCGCGGGGCCTACGGCGTGGTGTACGAGGCGGTGTCGGGCCGCAGCGGGGCCCGCCTGGCCGTCAAGAGGCTGAGGTGCGACGCTCCGGAGAACGTGGAGCTGGCCCTGGCCGAGTTCTGGGCCTTGACCAGCCTCCGACGGCACCACCCCAACGTGGTGCGCTTCGAGGAGTGCGTCCTGCAACGCGACGGGCTCGGGCAGCGCATGAGCCACGGGAACAAGCAGAGCGCGCTCTACCTCCGCCTGGTCGAGACCTCCCTCAAGGGTGAGGAAGGGGAAGGAAGGGGCAGAGGGAGGGGTCGTCGGGGCCCAGGCTCTCCAACCTTGGCCGCTGTAAGCCTGGCGGACTTCAACTCCCAGAATTCCCCAGCCAGCTTTGCTGGCTGGGGAATTCTGGGAGTTGAAGTCCTCCAGGCTTACAGCGGCCAAGGTTGGAAACCCCTGCTTTGAGCTGTCTCCCCGGGAAGGACACGTGTCAGGGACGTTCGCACGACGAGAGGGAGGAGAGGGTGCTGAGCTCTGGGAGGCAGTGCTGCTGAGGGCAGGGGGATCAAAGGTGGGGGGGGGTGTCTGGGGAGGGGTTGAACTGGGGGGAATGGGGTTCTGGGGTCTTGGAGACGTCTCAGGAGCCAACTAGGGAACGTTATCCGTGAACTGGGGGAAATGGGGGTCTGATGTGGTCTCTGGGTGGGTGCGGTCTTGGAGACGTCTCAGGACCCAACTGCTGAGGGCAGGGGGATCAAAGGTGGGAGGGGGTGTCTGGGGAGGGGAGGGGTTGGAATGGGGGGGTCTGGGGTCTTGGAGACGTCTCAAGAGCCAGCTAGGGAACGTAAATCAATGCTAAAATGGAGTGTGGTGTGGGGGAAGAGGAGGACAACTTTGGGTCCTTGGTGGTCTCTGAGCTGAGGGGTGGGGGGGTTATTGCAGACATCTCAAGACCCAGCTAGGGAATGTCATCAGTGGTGAAAGCAAAGCTGGTTGGGGAATTCTGGGAGTTGAAGTCCTCCAGGCTTAAGCGGCCAAGGTTGGAGAGCCCTGCTCTGGGCTGTCTCCCCGGGAAGGACACGTGTCGAGGACGTTCGCACGACCGGGGGGGGGGAGGGAGGGGAGGGTGCTGAGCTCTGGGAGGCGGTGCTGCTGAGGGCAGGGGGATCAAAGGTGGGGGGGGTGTCTGGGGAGGGGAGGGGTTGAACTAGAGGGAATGGGGGTCTGGGGTCTTGCAGACGTCTCAGGAGCCAGCTAGGGAACGTTATCCGTGAAGTGGGGGAAATGGGGGTCTGATGTGGTCTCTGGGTGGGTGCGGTCTTGGAGACGTCTCAGGACCCAACTGCTGAGGGCAGGGGGATCAAAGGTGGGGGGGTGTCTGGGGAGGGGAGGGGTTGGAATGGGGGGGTCTGGGGTCTTGGAGACGTCTCAGGAACCAACTAGGGAACGTTATCCATGAACTGGGGGGGGGGGTGCTGCTGAGGGCAGGGGGGGGTGTTTGGGGAGGGGATGGGTTGAACGGGGGGGGGGAATGGGGTTCTGGGGTCTTGCAGATGTCTCAGGAGCCAGCTAGGGAACGTCATCAATGCTAGAAGGGAGTGGGGGGTGGGGGAAGTGGAGGACAACTTTGTGTCCTTGATGGTCTCTGAGCTGAGGGGCTGGGGGGTTATTGCAGACGTCTCGGGACCCAGCTAGGGAATGTCATCAGTGGCGAAAGCAAAGCTGGCTAGGGAATTCTGGGAGTTGAAGTCCTCCAGGGTTACAGCAGCCAAGGTTGGAGACCCCTGCTCTGGGTTGTCTACCTGGGAAGGATACGTGTCGGGGACGTTCGCACGACGAGAGGGAGGAGGGGGTGCTGAGCTCTGGGAGGCAGTGCTGCTGAGGGCAGGGGGATCAAAGGTGGGGGGGCTGTCTGGGGAGGGGAGGGGTTGAACTGGGGGGAATTGGGGTCTGGGGTCTTGGAGACGTCTCAGAAGCCAACTAGGGAACGTTATCCGTGAAGTGGGGGAAATGGGGGTCTGATGTGGTCTCTGGGTGGGTGCGGTCTTGGAGACATCTCAGGACCCAACTGCTGAGGGCAGGGGGATCAAAGGTGGGGGGGTGTCTGGGGAGGGGAGGGGTTGGAATGGGGGGGTCTGGGGTCTTGGAGACGTCTCAAGAGCCAGCTAGGGAACGTAAATCAATGCTAAAATGGAGTGTGGTGTGGGGGAAGAGGAGGACAACTTTGGGTCCTTGGTGGTCTCTGAGCTGAGGGGTGGGGGGGGGGGGTTATTGCAGATGTCTCAGGACCCAGCTAGGGAATGTCATCAGTGGTGAAAGCAAAGCTGGTTGGGGAATTCTGGGAGTTGAAGTCCTCCAGGTTTACAGCGGCCAAGGTTGGAGAGCCCTGCTCTGGGCTGTCTCCCCGGGAAGGACACGTGTCAGGGACGTTCGCACGGGGGGGGGGGGAGGGAGGGGAGGATGCTGAGCTCTGGGAGGCGGTGCTGCTGAGGGCAGGGGGATCAAAGGTGGGGGGGTGTCTGGGAGGGGTTGAACTGTGTGGTCTGGGGTCTTGCAGACGTCTCAGGAGCCAACTAGGGAACGTTATCCGTGAACTGGGGGGGTGCTGCTGAGGGCAGGGGGATCAAAGGTGGGGGGGTGTCTGGGGAGGGGAGGGGTTGAACGGGGGTGGGTGGGATGGGGGTCTGGGGTCTTGCAGATGTCTCAGGAGCCAGCTAGGGAATGTCATCAATGTTAGAAGGGAGTGTGGTGTGGGGGAAGAGGAGGACAACTTTGTGTCCTTGATGGTCTCTGAGCTGAGGGGCTGGGGGTTATTGCAGATGTCTCGGGACCCAGCTAGGGAACGTCATCAGTGGTGGAAGGGAGTGGGGTGTGTGGGGGAGGAGGATTGTGGGGCTTTCTGAGGTTGCTTGTTTCCTTGCAGACGTCTCATCACCCAGCTAGGGAACGTCATCAGTGTTAGAAGGGAGTGTGATGTGGGGGAAGAGGAGGTCAACAAGTCCTCCAGGTTTACAGTGGCTAAGGTTAGAGACCCCTGCTCTGGGCTGTCTCCCGGGGGAGGACACGTGTCGGGAGCGTTCGCACAACGAGGGGAGGGTGCTGAGCTCTGGGTGGCGGTGCCGCTGAGTGTAGGGGGATCAAAGGTGGGAGGGGGTGTCTGGGGAGGGGAGGGGTTGAACTGGGAGGAATGGGGGTCTGGGGTCTTGGAGACGTCTCAGGAGCCAACTAGGGAACGATATCTGTGAACGGGGGTTGAATGGGGGTCTGATGTGGTCTCTGGGTGGGTGCGGTCTTGGAGACGTCTCAGGACCCAACTAGGAAAATGTTATCAGCGGTGGAAGGGAGAGGGGTGTGTGGGGGAGGAGGATTGTGGCTCTCGGTCTTTTCTGAGGTGGCTTGTTTCCTTGCAGACGTTTCATCACCCAGCTAGGGAATGTCATCAGTGCTAAAAGGGAGTAAGGTTTGCAGAGGGGAGGAGGATGGGGGGATTGTGGGAGTTGAAGTCCGCCAGGCTTACAGCGGCCAAGGTTGGAGAGCCCTGCTCTGGGCTGTCTCCTGAGGGAGGATACGTGTCGGACGTTCGCACAATGAGAGGGAGGAGGGGGTGCTGAGCTCTGGGAGGCGGTGCTGCTGAGGGCAGGGAGATCAAAGGTGGGGGGGTGTCTGGGGAGGGGAGGGGTTAAACTGGGGGGAATGGGGGTCTGTGGTCTTGCAGACGTCTCAGGAGCCAGCTAGGGAACGTCATTCAATGCTAGAAGGGAGTGTGGTGTGGGGGCAACTTTGGGTCCTTGGTGGTCTCTGAGCTGAGGGGGCGGGGTATTGCAGACGTCTCAGGAGCCAGCTAGGGAACGTTATCCGTGAACTGGGGGGAATGGGGGTCTGATGTGGTCTCTGGGTGGGTGCGGTCTTGGAGACGTCTCAGGACCCAACTAGGGAAACGTTATCAGTGGTGGAAGGGAATAAGGTTTGCAGAGGGGAGGAGGAAGAAGAGTGGGATTGTGGGGTCCTTGGTGCTCTCTGAACATGGTGTTTTTCTTGCAGTGGTCTCTGAGTTGGGGGGGGGATCTTGGGGACGTCTCAGGACCCAGCTAGGGAACATCATCAGTACTGGAAGCGGGTGGGGTGTGTGGGGGAGAATTGTGGGGCTCGGTCTTTTCATCACACAGCTAGGGAATGTCATCAGTGCTAAAAGGGAGTAAGGTTTGCAGAGGGGAGGAGGAGGGGGATTGTGGGAGTTGAAGTCCGCCAGGCTTACAGCGGCCAAGGTTGGAGACCCCTGCTCTGGGCTGTCTCCTGAGGGAGGATACGTGTCGGACGTTCGCACAATGAGAGGGAGGAGGGGGTGCTGCTGAGTGCAGGGGGATCAAAGGTGGGGGGTGTCTGGGGATGGGAGGGGTGTCATCAGTGGTGAAACCAAAGCTGGCTGGGGAATTCTGGGAGTTGAAGTCCGCCAGGCTTACAGTGGCCAAGGTTGGAGATCCCTAGTCTGGACGGTCTCCCAGGGGAGGACACGTGTCGGGGCCGTTTGCACAATGGGGAGGGGGGAAGGGATGGGAGGGTGCTGAGCTCTGAGAGGCGGTGCTGCTGAGGGCAGGGGGAGCAACGGTGGGGGGTGCTTGGGGAGAGGAGGGGTTCAACTTGGGGAATGGGGGTCTGATGTGGTCTCTGAACTGGGTGGGTGGGGAGGTCTTGGAGACGTCTCCTGATCCAGCTAAGGAACATCATCAGTGATAGAAGGGAAGAGGGGTGTGTGGGTGGGAGAGGAGGATTGTGGGGCTCTTGCTCTTTTCTGAGGTTGCTTGTTTCCTTGCAGAGGAAGCGTTATCTGTGCTAGAAGGGAGTAAGGTTTGCAGAGGGGAGGAGGGGGATTGTGGGGTCCTTGGTGCTCTCTGAACATGGTGGTTTTCTTGCAGTGGTCTCTGAGTTGGGGGGGGATCTTGGGGACGTCTCAGGACCCAGCTAGGGAACATCATCAGTGCCAGAGGGTGTGGGAGAAGAGGAGGACAACTTTGGGTCCTTGGTGGTCTCTGAGCTGTGGGGGGGGGGGGTTATTGCAGACGTCTCGGGACCCAGCTAAGGAACGTCATCAGTGCTGGAAGCGGGTGGGGTGTGTGGGGGAGGATTGTGGGGCTCGGTCTTTTCTGAGGTTACTTGTTTTCTTGCAGATGTCTCAGGACCCAGCTAGGGAACGTCATCAGTGTTAGAAGGGAGTGTGATGTGGAGGAAGAGGAGGTCAACTTTGGGTCCTTGGTGGTCTCTGAGCTGGGTGTGTGGGGGGGT